AGTGTATTACTCATAGAAAAAAAAACTAAAGTGCTAAGCTTCACAGAACATTACTGAACTGTTGAATATTTTTTAACTTCTAGCAGCTATACAGCCTCTCAGAAGTCATTAGTGTTAAGGAGAGATTACAATAAATCACTGTGTCAATCTTAAACCAGGAAATGGAAACTTTATTCACCAGCCAGCATTCCGGATCCACCATCTGGTGGGCCAAAAGGTAGGCTGCAAGTCTACACAATTTGACCCCTTCCCAGGGTTTTAGTACACTATTTTATAGACCAAAACCATATTAAGGCATAAGTGGCTGTTGCTATGATCCAAAACCATAAACAAATGTCATGAGATCTAAAATCATAAGCAGAAAAGGGAGTGGGCCAAAACATCCCTAGATGAGTACAATTTAAAGAATGGTTACTAACATCTACACAATCAATCTCAGACATTGTCCAAGAAAAAATAGAAACCAAAGAGAGAAAACTTTTACATTGTATAATAATTGCCATTTTGTGTTGCCAAATATGCTATGCTCAGCGCCCGGCGTCGTGGGCAGCGTGGATCCCCGGCCCACTGGCGGGTGGAACCCAGGACCCGACAAGAAGGCGAGGGAGGTGAGAGGGGTTGGGCCACCATGAGGGAAGGCGGGGATCCTGAGGATAACACGGGCGCGGAACGGCCACCATCAGGGTGCACAGCCCTCAACACTGGACTTTCACCCTTTCCTATTGCTGATGAGTCCTAGAAGGAGAAAAACAAATAGTGAAGCTCTGAGTTAACATAACAATAGGCCTCAGAAGAATAAGCCAGATATGAATCCTTTCCTAGTGACAGTACAGTGATTCCCTGGGGGAAAAGATCAACACTGGGCCTTCCCCCCTTGCCCAATAAAAACTAATTTCAAATTTTTTCAATCTCTTTTCTGAATGCCCAAAGGGACACATTCTGTTGAAAAGATAAGTCATTTGTCAGTGTAACATACAAAAATCTCACATACTTTCTGTAACTGAGGTTCCATTTTCTACTCAGAAATTGGGCTTCTCTGATGCCTGACTCTGCTACTGAATAAAAGGCATAGCTAATCCATGAAATCTGTGCCCACCCCAGTAATTTATGCTTTAATTAAAGTGGTAAACGGTTTGGTTATTTTTGCTTACACCAGCCCTTTGTTCAGCTCCACAAAATCCAAAAGCAGATGGGATTAGAGACACTGTATACTCATACCAGACATGCTACAAGCCTGGGTACAATGATGAGAAATGGCTTTGCCATAAGCCTACATGTCTGACAGGACAGGTGCTTAGGAGCCACATAGGTCATGAATCCTGTCACCTGAGTCTGGTAGAACTGTGGCTTGCAATAACTGCATTTAATTAGCTGACATGTGCCCATTATTGTCTTCCAGAAAGAAAGAAAGGTGCATCTCTGAAAGAAGTGGGGTGAGTGTGCCTTCCACAGTTTCCTGATGCATTTAGGGAACTGTGGGAGGCTGGTAATGCTGATGACATTTGGTGGAGTCTCTGTGATGTGTCTCTTGCCTGGATATTTGGATCTGTCCTTAAGGTCTGTGAATCTGACCTCAGGTGAGCCAGGCCTTATGGGGAGCTCTGAGTTGCTCTAGACCAACTGAGTCTGGCTATGGTTTCATGTACAGGTGGCTGGCCCTGAGTGGGGAGTGAGACTTTGCCCTGGTTACTGGCCTCTTCTTTCTGGTAACCTTCAGCAGCCTGGTGTCTCTGAACTTCTCTGACACTGGCATCTTACATTGAGGTGAGGCCTCAGACCACTGAGAAAAGGAGGTGGCATCCCAAGGGCTGATGCCTACAGGAATAATTTCTAAAATGCTAACCCCATCTATGGCTCAGGGTCCATTCTCCCCATGTCATAATTACTTAGGTTGTGACATTTTGTTTCCCAAGGTACTGAGGTGTGTAAAAACAGAATCCTGGAGGGTATCCAGTTGCTTTGGAAGGGAGGGATGGGAAATCTGGACAAAGGGACCAGCAGGCCCTTCCAAACCACATTAGTCCTTCCACAGTCACCTCTTCTCATTTCACACATGACTTCAGGCACTGATCACTATTCCAAAGGGGGAAGCTTCATACAATGCTATTGTGGCTGGAAACCCCCTTCTCTTAGACTGCCAATCCATCAGAGTGGTCAGCTTGCTAAATAGGGGCTAGGATTTCCCTGCCCACCTCTTTCTAATCCTTCTGGTTGCCCAGAAAAGCTATGGGGCTGCCTCTGGCAGCCACATGATGGAAGGGCCTCCTGCCACTGCCCAAACCTCTTCCCATGCCAGGCTACTTTGAGCAGGATCCTGAGGCAGCATACATCACTTGGATGTATCGAAGGTATTTCAGATACTCAGGTGCCCCCAGTGCTTCTTCCACCACCCACCCAGGATCTTCAACTGTGAATATTGTAATATTTGTGTGGAGGTGAGCACCCCTCTTCCCTGTCTTCTCACCAGTACATCACTGGGCACCTGACCAGGACCAGGAACCTCACAGCATAAGGAGTGGGTATGAGACTATATTCCCACACTGCTTAAAAGTGGATCTCAGCCACTTTTGATCACTTACATTTCTTATCACCTCTGTGTCTGCA